CTATCTGAGAATAATTGGAGATGTAGAGGCAGAAAGATGTGATACTTTTCCTTACTTATCATAAGGGTCACAGCTGATAGATACTCCTATAAAAAAAGACAGGTTAATGAGAGAAAAGCATAACAAATTTATTTAATCAAAGTCATACGTGGCACAGGAACCTTCAGAAATGAAGATCCCAAGATCCAGGGAAAAATATCTATTATTATGCTTAGGCTCAATGAAGAATAGCCTCCGGGTATGGGGCAGGACCTGTCTGGAATGAAGGTCTTCAAGGAGCAAGGGAGAAGAGAGAGCGAGCGTGATCTTTCTAGGTTTTATGACTTGCTTTGGGGGTTTCTCTTTTGAGGGTTTCTCATTTCTGTGACCCACCTTGGGGAAGAGGAATTCTGGTTTCTATGACTCGCTTCAGGTTAGAAAGGGGTGGGAGGCAGGAGAGTAGGAAAAGGTCAGAGAGACCTTGCTTCCTTCCGAGGCCTTTCCAATTCCCTTCAGTTCAAAGTACTCATCATGCCAAGATGCCAGACTTTCTGAGCCCTAACAAAGAAATCCACACCTGACTGTTTGGTGACCCTGAGTCAGTGAGGTTATGTAATAGTTGTGGAGTTTAAGGTTGGTATTGTAGTGCTTATATCAATAAAACATTTGCAAGATTGTCCTTTAATATTTAGAAAAATTAATCTGAGTTTATAAGGGTAAGTCACGAAATTGAGGGCTTGACTTCCCCTTTAGAACACTTTTGTTGATCACTCACTTTATTTTTTTCTCCTTTGTTTCTTATCGCATGCGGACAATTGTGTTCCCATATCCTTTGTATTTATAGTATCTATAAGTGTATTAATACATTCCTTCCTCTAGTGTTCAATTGACTGGTGTGGAAGCATCTAGTTGTTTTATGTGAAGGCCATCATTTTATTCTGAGTCTTTTTCTGCTTTTTTTCTAAGGCTCTTGCCAAATGTTAAAGCATTTGAGGTCTTGTGATGAGGCCTATTTTTGCCTAAAAGACTTTTACAGAAAGGAGGAAAGATGAGGCCACATGTTTCAAAGTTTTCTCCTAAATGCTATCTAAAGATATAAGTCTGTCCCTGATGTCTGCAAGGGATTTAGCCTTTCTTGTCTTATGGGACTGATCAGAGCCCAGTCTCTGTGTACAGGAAAGACCTTTGTTGACAGCTTATGAAAGTCATTTTTTAACCCCTCTGGTTTTCTATGCAGTCAATCATGGGCTCTTAAGTCACCTTAAGATTCTTTACATTGTGCTTTTTCTGGTCTGTGATTTGTATGTGATGTTCCCTCTAATGTATGAATTAGTTGGTATAGATCTGGGAGCCCTGGATTATCAGTTTCTAAAACTATTCTAAATTCCTCTGCAAATTTCTCCCAGTCCTGTTTAGACCTTAGATTGTATGCGGCTATGGATCTCAGCTCAGAAAGAGATCAGGTCTTAAAACCAATCTTAAAGGGTTTTTCCTATTGTGAAGGAAGTTTAATTTTAAGAGTTAATATACTTATGAGGTTTCTGGCCAGTTTGAAGGGAAGGGGAACAGAGGGAGAGCTGAGGCAGAGGGAAATCAAGAAGCGTAGAATGGGGGAAGAGGAGTAATAGGAGCAAGGACTGTGAGTTGTGATTTGGGAGGATCTTAAAGAGAGATAGTCTTAATTTTTAAAATATTTTTCTTTTACCGTGGTCAAGAAATTTCTTATAGATACAATTTTGCAATCTCAGTTTCTTTTGGTGGACTACTGGATGTTTGATATTTGCTCCCTTTTTGTTCCAAGGTGCCTCTCAACTGAACAATTTTCTTATGTCAAAAGCACAGTTGTGTTGCTTTGTTTTCTTGCTCGGGAACTTCTAATGGCCACTTGTTGCTTACAGATTAAGGCCTGGCAATTGGCACATTCATAGTATAATCCTCAGGTTCACGAATTTCCACAGCATATGTCCTTTTATGTATGCTGCTACTCTTCTGTAGGGGAGGGAGAAGTGGCTTCCCTTTACCCTTCTAGGTTCTTTGTCTGGGTTGCAAATTAAATTGACATAAGGCAGATTAACAGGAGAAAAATAATTATAATTATGTATGTATGCACAGGAGTCCCACGAACTATGATACTTGACGAAGGGTCAGATAATTAAAGTTCATGTGGCATCCTGAGCTACAGAAAGGAATAGGGGCTTGGGGCTTCTGCAGGTTGGTGGAGACAAAAATTACGGGAAGGTGAGGGGAAAAAAGGTATGGTGAGTAAAGGTTGTCTTGTTATACAGATTAAAAAATCTCTCAGGTGATAAAAGTTGACTGAAGAGGCCTGATATAGATATTTTTTACTAATGTAGATTTCCTTTACGGATGTGAATCTCTTTTACAAAAGGGCAGCTTTTCAGAGCTCCCCCTGTGTCTACAGTTCCTCGGAGTAACCAGCTCAAAGTATGGCAAAGAGGTGTCTGTGGTCCCCTACAGTCATATTTTGGGGTGGTGTGTCCTGAGCCCTAATACTTGTATCCAGTCTGTTTTAAACTTTTCTGTTGAATTCAAGATACCTTTCTAATCACTTCCTGAACCCCACAGAAGGTTATAATGCTTATTAAATTGCATTTATTTCATTTTAAATCTCCTAAGGCGTCATTTTTGCTAAACTTTTTATTCAGATATTGTCGTATGAGGTCAGTAACGTCCTTGACAACTTTCGAATGACTGTATTTTCTTCTGGAAATTTATCTATTTCAATGTTAATTGTGATCAGTAATTACAAGGCTTATCATTTTCTTTTTTTAAAAATGAGCTTTTCTTATTTTAAATCAAATTTGAGTTAAAAGCTTTCTTGATCTCATTGGGAAGCCTCCTGCAAAGCACATTCTTCCCAGGCTTTGCGATGTGTAATTTTTCCCTGATATCTTCATATCCAATTGTTAGTCACATATGGAAATATTACTTTTGTCATCGTTTACCTTCTTAGGACTTTAAAGTTTTAGGATAAATAATCTAGGTTGCTTTTGGTATCATGCTTTGTACCTTTATCAAATCAGGAAAAAAATGAGTTCGATGAGTGTGAGACATAGGCATCCCCATATCGCATACCTTTTAGTTAGTCACGTTAGGCCATCTTTCCCCCTCTGGAGCATAAGAGTCCTGATATTATCTCTGTCTCCTACGCTTATTAAAAGAACACTAAAATCTACTGCCTTTTACTTTTGGAGCTGGAGACCACCTTCAGAAGGCCTATATTTTTCACTAGCAGGGGTTCTCAACTCATAATTAGGGCCAAATCTGGCTCGCAGATGGTTTTGATTATTACACTGGGTTAAAATTTTTTGCATCGGGATGCTTTTAGGTTTGCTAGTTTGTTCCTTAGTTTGCCGTAGGCACCATCATTCCCTATGGTATTACACATTGAGAAGGACTTCTTTGTCCTATTTTTATACTTAGTAGGCTCTAGAAACTGGTTTTTATTTATCTTCATCTTGCAATTTTATTTTCTTTCTATATTCTTTCTTTCATTTTTTCAGGGAACCCTTAATTGTTTCTAAGAAACCACTACTGTTATTTCACATTACCTTCTTACCAGCATTTTAAAGTATGTGAACACTTGATTGGTGGGTCCCTCAGGTAGGAGTATAAGCATGCCACTTTGTGCACAGTCTTGGAACAGTCATTTCTCTTACACTTTAAGCCCACTCTGTCTAAATTTGAACATTAATCTTTTTTGGTCATGGTGAATGTTTGTTTCCAGTGCTTTTTTACCATTCAGCCCATGTTTGAGTTCAAGTTTCACTTAACGATCCTTCTATTTGGAGTCTGTATGTAGAACCAACAACCTTTAGCAAACATAAAAGTAGCATCAGTTTCTGTATTGTAATTGCCCACAATATTTAACCCGTTTCTGGCCTGTTCACCCTGGTTTGCTTGTTGCTTGTTACTCTGTGTGCACAGTGTTGCTAATCATTCTAAGAACATATAAAGTGTTTTTTTTTCAACAGCATTTCTTGCTTTGGGAGTGAATGGAGTCTCTCCTGCCTGAATTAAGGAAAAATATGAATTCAGAAAATTTAAAACTACATATAGATTAGCCATTAGCTAAACAGAGTTGCTTAAACTAAAGTGAAATTTAATGCTATGTGGAAGTACTTACAGGTCTTAACTGAATCTGTGAGTGTAATAATATGGTGTGAATTCATAAATGATGTTGCTAAAGGCATTAAACTAAAAACAGTTTTAAACTTTTTTGAGGTTTTTTTTAAAATTTCTTTTTCTTTTGAAATCTCATTTTCTACTTCCGATTTTTTTTTTGCCTTTATCTGTTCAGTTTTCTATAAGTGAGCTTTAGGAAAATCTTAGTAATCTCAGTAAGATGACAGAAGTTGTTTGAAATAATTTCAAATGGAAAGCTTCTTTTGAATAGTTAAAAAAATTTTTTTAAACTGTAAAATGTATATATTCCTCCGTCCTATTGACTCCTCTAGTGAATGTGAACAAAAATTTCAATGTTCTTTCAAAAACATTTTACTTACATAAATTGTTATACCTTTAGAGGAAATAGATTAAAATGAGTCCTGTGTATATGAAAATTGAACGTCTACACTTTAACTACATCTTCTTTTTTTGAAGTGGCAAAGTTTGTTTTCATCTGGTAGACTGTAACGAAATACTCATCATGTTTCAAATTCAAGTTTTTGGTTCAGTGAAACAGTAATTTAAATAAGTGAATTTTTTCAAAAATTGGGGGTTATGTTGATTTTTAAAGCTTTTTATCACAAGGGATCCTGAACATGCAAGACTTCAACTTTCTTATGTAGAGAACTTTCTTATGAAAGGAAGTCAACTTTCTTATGACTAGAGAAACCTTTCCTGTTCTGTGGCTTGGGTTAGTGTTTAGCTGTATTTTTAGTAACAGTCCTAAGTCAGTAGCTATGTAAGCACTGAATGAAGATGGAGTCACAGGGCAAACTGGGCTTGCTTCCCACAGGGAGGGCTGGGAGTGGAGCAGGAAGGAAGGCCTGTTCGGCAGTGCCTGTGTGCAACTATGTCTGAGTAGGCAGCCGGTAACACAATGTCTGCCTTGTATAAAGTAACTCTCTTAGTGAGCGCTAAGATATGTGAGGAAAACATATTTGGGTAAGTGAGGAAGCTTGGGATGTTTCAAAGAGATTCTTTTCGTGTTTTTGTGGTATTTGGATTTAAGGGAGTGTACTATTTGTTGCTGCAAAGTACTGGCTTTGTTTTCAGTAGCATTTAGACTTTTTGAACAAGCTCTTACTGCAGGCAGATTGAAGCATCTTATTTTCTAAAAATGTGAACTTAATTTTAAAAATGTGATTTGTTTGTGATGATAAGTTAATTAGTGCTTCTTGAAATCAGTAAAAATTAATTGTGGCATTCATTTTTAGGAATGAGTTCTACTAGGCTTAAAGAAACCAGCCTTTTCTTGTCATTTTCATTCTGAAATCAGAGCCAACTTGTGATAGCGGTGAAAACTACCCCAAACTGATTACTGGTGCTTAAAATGTATAATGTTGATTTCAAGAATAATTTGCTTGTTTTAAAACAGTGTGGCAGTGAAATGACTGTATTATAAAAGTATTATAATTTGCTTCAGTTTGAATAATATAAAGTTCAATTTTTACTGAAAGAACTGGTAATTCTTCTGGAAATCTTGATTTTGTGATTAGCTGGTATAAATGGCTGGTATTTTTAGAATATTACTTTTTTGTTTTCAGCCGCATTTAATTATCAAGCTGTAAGTAGTTAACTTTTGTGGAGTGTGTGCATGTTTATAGTCTTCTGCTTTTGAATCTGTCTAGTGGAGTGTGACAATATGAACCGCTTTGACCGACCAGACAGAAATGTTCGGCAATCTCAGGAAGGATTTTGGAAAAGGCCACCCCAGAGGTGGAATGGACAGGAACATTACCACCTCAGCCATCCTGACCACTATCATCACCGTGGAAAAAGTGACTTGAGCAGGTGAGTACTGTTCTAACTTAGATTTCATTTGCTATCCTCTGATTAATTTTGAATTGTAATTTCCTTGTGCCCCTGCAACTGTTTTTGTCTGGTTTTTAGGGGCTTCAAAAAACACTTCAGGTTATATGTGATACTAATTTGAGTAGTATATCCAATTCTTTCTTTTTGGCTTAAATCTTTTTTCATTAGCTTATGATAAATATAAATATTCTATTTATATCCAATATTTGGACTTTAAGTTGTGTGATTTTTCTGTGGTTCTCATTTGTGAATGATTAAATGTCAACTTTGTTAAAGTTTATAGTTTTTCTAAATAATAATGTGTAAAATTAGTGCCAAGTGATTTGTCTTCTTTTGTTTACGTAATAGGTTGAAATTTTAAAAATTCCGCAAGTAATATTAGAAACAGAAGAACACACTGTATATTGCTAGAGGTCTTTTCTTTTTTGAAGTATAGGATAGTCTTTAATTTGACCAGACCTTACGTGTAATGGAGCTCTGTAGTCATTTAAACCTGGGTTCAAAACCTGGCCCGGCACAAATTAGTTTTGCAAGCTTAGATAATTTATTTAACTCGCCTCTACTTCAGTTTACTATCTGTAAAACATAGTTAATAATACCTTTCTCTCAGTGTTCAAGGATCAGGGTTAAACATGCCTGGAGCAGTGTCTGGTTTACAGTACGTACCCAGACATGGGAGTCCAAAAATGTTCACAAGCCAGGAACTAATGTAGGTAGCATAGTTATGGGGCTAAAAAAGGTGTGCAGCTTAAGAGGCCAAGCAAAGTCAAAAACTAAAGAGTAGGCAATCAGTGTAGAAAAGGAAGAATAAGCAGTATGTTTTTCCAGGTAAGGTCTTTCCAGAGTATTTTTTCCTATTCTGGTTCCTAAGGAAGAAGGTTTATTCAACCAATGTCTAAAATACACAAAGATGTATGTGTGTTGTATGTGTGTGTTGGGGGGATACAGAGGATAATTCTTTTAACGACAAGTACAACTGATTTCACCCCTTGGTGGAAGCACGTTTAGTGACTAGTGACTAAGGTGAGTACAAGTCAAAGTCTTTGTGGTGATGATAAATGATTTGATTTGTAATGTTCACTGCAATAATTTCATTACCTTTATTTCTTTCTGAAATTGTATTGTATATCTTTTCCTTCCACCTTCTTCCCCTACCCTTCCAGAGGCTCTCCCTATAGAGAATCTCCTTTGGGTCATTTTGAAAGCTATGGAGGAACCCCCTTTTTCCAGGCTCAGAAGATGTTTGTAGACGTACCAGAGAATACAGTGATATTGGATGAGATGACTCTCCGGCACATGGTCCAAGACTGCACTGCTGTAAAAACTCAGTTACTCAAACTGAAACGTCTCCTGCATCAGGTGAGTACATAATGAACATTTCCAGCTCTGATATTTTGAATTGCAAAATGGATTGACTTTACTTTTTTTAAAAAATAAAATGACTTGGATTTCTCATGTCTATTTAGATTTCTGTAGAAATAATGCTTGTAAATAATACATAATAGAAACTTGTTGGGGGGAGAAAAACCCCACAGGATTTTGCACAATGGTCTCAATACATAGTCCCTGGCATGTATGAACTGTGTGATATTTGGTAAGCCAATCTCTCTGCTTTCGTTTCCTCATTTTCATATTATTTACATTGTAAGGTTGTCGAGAGAATCAGAAATAGTAGTTGTATATCGAGTAACCTAATACCTGAAACATAGTAGCCATTTGGTATTCAATGGCTACTACTATAATTTTAGCTAAGTGGGAAATAAGAAACAGCAGTTTTTCCTACATAATGATAGTCATATAATTTAATTTTTCTTTGGGATCTTCAAGTTTAATTTTTTCCAGTCTTTTTATTTATTTATATATTTGAGAAAATCTAGACTCATAGCAGGGATGTCACTTGTCCAGAGTCATAGGATGAACTGAAGTTAGAACTGGCTTCTGAGTCAATAGTACTTTCTTTGTTTAAGCATTTAGTTAGCCCTTACAGACAAGGTCAGGTACATAGCAGAAAACCAAGAAATAAAATACCAATTTTAAATTGTGGATACATTTTCTTTGGTTTTAAATCTACATTTATATTTTGTACAGTAGCCAAATTTAGCTTAAAACTATGGTTGAGAAAGAACAGTTTGACTTCTCTCTGTTGCTCAATTTCCTTTCTCAACACCTTCCTCAGGGTTGTATATTTTAGCTTCATATGAACAGGGGACCAAATTTTAGAATTCCCGGTGACCGTCAAAACCAAATTCATGGTATATGCCCAGGAAAGATGAGTTGAAGTGAAGTTTAGCTCCTGTGTTAGTAATGATGGTTAGTGTAAATATTCTGTTAAAGCCATGGAAATTGTTTTATGTCACTGGGTTGCGGATTTTCTGGACTAATGCTCTCCATCCTTGTGGATATTTGACTGCTTTTTGAAAAGAAACTTTTCTGTGCTAAGGCTAGGAGCAAGAGAGTCGAGAATACTTCTTGGATCTGGGAATGTTAAACTTCTCCTGAGGTAGAAAGAGATTCCATGATTGAAGTGTGCAGTCATAGAGCTTACAACTTAGTTTAACTATAACTAGGAGATAGGATTTGATGTATAGAGTTTCTCTGCTGGCTGGTCTGGGGAGAAGGTTTTCTGATCAGGCGCTTCAACGTCAAAGGAAAGAGGAGGCAGAAGAGGGTGGGAAATAGCTAAAATATGTTAAATACCTACTGTGAGCCCAGTCGTTGTGCTAGCTGTATCATGTACCCTCTTTTGTGTCTGGGTGATATTGCCCTGAATCATGAAGCATGTTTGGATATCAGCTAATAAGACTGGGCCACCTCTAATAATGACAGAAGGAGCATAATTCAGGTGAGAGTAGTGAATTGGTAACCAATGATTAGTCCCATAAAAATAAAAAAATGTTTTTTGAGGTACTTTAAGTAAAGTAAATCTGTTAAGGGTTCTTTTCTGTCACTATGGCCTTTGAAATTTTAGGTAATACACACTGCTCAAATTGGCTTTACTTTTTGTTTATGCAGTGAAAACAAAATTATGAGAAGAAAATTGCAGAATCCTTTTAGTTCATCTTTAAAGTTTCCCAAATGCTAATAGAATTTAAAAGCTAAATGAGCCTAAGATTTCGTGTAACTGCCTCTTTTAACTTTTTTCCTTTTTAATTTTACTAAATTTAAAAAATCAACGTGATACATGGCTTTTAAAAAATTCACATACTATCCAGAGACTTAATGAAAAAAATAGTGTTTTTGGCCCCCTCCTCACTTCAGTCAACCTGTTAGAAGCAGAGCAGGTTACTGCCCAAAGCTTCTCTACAGCTGTTATACAGGGGCTTTCTTTTACCACAATCTGGGATTGGATCTGCTATTTCCTGGATAGCATATCTTCATTTTCTCTAGTTTACTCTCTCATTTTGTTGTAGTATATTCTTAATTTATTGTAGTATATCCTTAATTTACTTCCTAAGAGAAGATGACTGGATGGCAAACTTTTTAAATTACTGCATTACTGAAAATCTCTTTCTTCTACTGTCACATTTTATTGATATTAATAGTTTGGGTGGTATGAAATAGTTTGACTGTGATGGAAGAGAGTTTTCCTTCAGAAATTTGAAGGCGTTTCTTTTCTAGGAACTTGTTTAGCCATTGGGAAGCTTACTATACATTCTGATCCATTTTACGTTGTATTTTGCCTGTTGTTTGTCTCACTGGGAGGTTTTAATCTTTTATTTCTGGCATTGTCCAGTTTCACAGTGGTGTCCTGGGATTTGAGTTTTGTTGTAGTTGGTTGGTTGATTGTTTTCCACTTGATATTTTGGCAGTTAGTACCTCTTTGGAGATTAATGCAGTATGAAATTTTATTATGTTATTTCTGTGACTATTTTCTTTCCCCCATTTTTTCTGTTATTTTTCTGGAATTTTTAGTAACCATAATCTAGAACTTCAGAATTGAATCTTTTGATATTTTTATTTTTTCTTTTCTTTTGGTTTGGTTATATTTTCTAGTATATTTTCTCAACTTTACATTGCAGCTCTCTGTTTTTATTTAACTGTTTATCTTGGCAATCATATTTGCAATTTCTAAGAACTCTTTATTGTGTGTTATTTCCTAATCATATCAATTAATTATTTTTTCAGGAATTATATTAAGTAGAGAGTTTCTGTTTGTTCTGTTTTGTTATTATTAAGAATTCTGAGGTTCCCTGCATTCTCTCTTTATACATGGTTGCTTTGTTCTTTATGTTTATTTTGGTTTCTCTTTCTTTTTGAATATTTCTTCAAATTTATAATGATTCTTTGTTTATTAATATTTAAGAGTGAGAAACTAAAAAGCTGATTCAGGACTCTTTGTACGTGGTCTGGGCTTGTCAACTAACTGGTGGGCAAGTTCATTTTACAGTGATGGATAGAAGTAGGTGGATCCTTAGTATCTACTAAGTGGAGGATTTTTCCTTCTACATTGGTTGTAGTTTCTCTAGAGAAGAAACCTCTG